GATGCAGTCCCTCCCAGTCTCCCACCCGGAGCAGGAGTCGCCGCCTCTGCCTGACCGGCACAGAGAACCACGTCCCCACTGGGCAGGCTGCCTCTCTGGTGGGTGGCTCCAGTGGACGGGGCAGCGTCCCTGCACTCAGAGTCGGCTTGCTTTGACCTTTCATCCAGTGGTGCCGGCAAACCCCAGGAAGGCTAGCAACAGCTCCTGGTCCTTCGCCACAATGACATTAACGCTCAATGGTGCCCACAGGACCCTGCCTGAGGGTCTCCAGCACCAAACATTGGGGTTTCCAAGTAACCTTGGGTGGCAGCCCAGGCCCCCCCCCGTCCTCCGCAGGTGGGGTCCTCAGAGAACACCAGTGTGAGGGATGCAGTGTCTGGGTTCCCCTGCTCCTAACTGAACTCTAATCAGAACCAGGGGCTTGGGGAGACCCCAGCTTTACCCTTGTGCAAGTCGCAGGTTACTAGCCCTCTCTGAGATTTTATTTCTTCAAATGCAAAAATCTACCCCACAGGGCTGTTGGGAGGATTAAGTTCCTTAATATATGCAAAGCGTTTAATGCAGTAAGTGCTCAAAACTGCAGTTATTAATCATATTATTCTTCATCAATAACGGTGCTTGAATTTTTATCAGCTTTGTATTTCTGATCTTAAGCATGTGGTTGACTAAATGCTTAATTGTCTCACACACAAATAAATAGTAAGTCAAGCCTTCCCCCATTGGTGCTGCCTTATTTTGTTTTAAACTAAACACTAGATTCCAGATTTATCTTGCTAACATTTTGTCTTGCAGATTTCAAATTAGCATTCAAAGCTGTTGATAGTTTTGAGTTTTGGCTCTGTCTTTTATGGTGTTAGTTATGCTCTCCAACTGTTACCTACAAACTAGATAAGCATCCCTAGGATTGCATCTGACCTGTGAATTTAAAAAACAATCAAACAAGCAGGACAAGAAAGCGAAAAATGCTAGGGACTGCCTTCCCAGCTAACTCACTTGTTTCCATGCATCCACTTCACAACGCCTTCCCTTGGGAGACCATAAACTATTTTTGCCAAAATAAAAACCCGCTACATCTGCAATTCCTCTTGAAGTCACCAAGTGTATAACCCTGGCAAATGAGACAAGGTCGCCATAATTTTTTCTCAATGAACCTGTGCTGGTTCCCAATGATCCCTTCATTTGCGTTTAAACACCCAGAACCCATCTGCTCCCTAGGCTCTCTGAGTGCCTGTTTGGCAGGGCTGGAGCTCTGCCCTCTTCCCCTAGGGGTGTGTGCCAACCCAGAGTCTCCAGGCACCTGCCCCGTTTCTGCTTTTCCCAAAACTTAACAAGAGCAGCTCCGTGACTTCCCTCTGCAATCGCCTACACACAGAGATGCTCTTGCCAGAGCTGCTTCCTGAGAGTGTGGGCGCCTCCCCCCTCCACAAGCCCCCAGCTTCCTCTCTCCCCACGCCTGCACGCCCCACCCAACTCAGGAATCAACTGTGCAGTGACCCGAGCTTCTTAAGTGCCTGTTTGCCAGGAGTGGGATCAGCTGGAACTTTTCTAAAGGGAGATGCTTAAGCTTACCCTGGCCCACCCGAATCTTCCCATCCATGCAACTCTTGCCAGGCAGCACTTCTGAGAACTGGCCACGAGACACCATGAGAACACACCACCCGTCTGCCTCCTGCTGGACTGGGGGTGCACACAGTTCCACCCCACCATGCCTCAACACATGGTGCAGGTGTGCAGGTTTTCCATCCAAGCTCCCCACCCCCCTTCCAGCACAGTCTCTTCCCAGCTTGCTCTTTTCCTCCAAATCCAGATTCCGACTGCACCCCTGCTCCCCATGCTCCAGGCTCTGGGGAGGAACACAACCCAGTGCCCCGGAGACCACAGTGGCATCCCCGGCATGTTCTCAGACCGACCAGACCTGCCACATCCCTACTGGCTGGAGAAGGAGTTCTGGAGGCCAACATTTCTGCTCTGTTGCCTTTGACCTCAGCATCAGTGCCCCTGGGAGGAGCAGGGGTACCAGCCTCTCTGTAGCGCCCTGGGCCCTGCCTGTGGGGGAGAGAGGCAAGGGTGCTCTCAGACACAGGTCGGGGAGCATCTCCCAGAGGGACACACACATGGACGGCCTAGGTGTAGTTACACACACATTCAGATGACATTTCCATCTCTCTACCTCCTGCAATGGGGTCCAGAGAGGGGACCAACAACCACCAGCCAGGGCAACAGGGACTACTCCTGGAGCTTCTCAGGACCTCTGAGCTGTGGCCAAGGGCATGGCAGGCACCACAGCCAGACTCAGAGTGCACGGTCCACCTTCACCACCTCCGCGGAAGTCACCTCGCCTCTCCCCAGAGCCACACCTGTCTTCCAGAGTGGTTGTGGAGGTTCGGAGAGTGTGAGTGAGCTACCGAGTAAAGTCCCCAAGGCCTGGGGCACAGGAGAGGGTGCACACCCATCACGCCCAGCCCTCGGCCCTGGTTAACCAGGCCCTTTCTCCACTGTAGCCTTTGGTTTGCTCCCCTGGTATCTGTGCGCTGAGCCTCGCCTGGCTCCACTGCGCTTCTGCTTCCCCACAGCACCGACAGCTGGAGTCAGGGAGACAGATGTTCACAGGAGAAAATGTAGAAATGCAACTCAGTGCATGAGACTAGGGGTTTAGAGAGCCCGGGTGTGAGGGGAGCCAGGTGTCACAGATCAGATACAAGGAATAGTTAGCAGGAGAGGGAAAGGACGTTTATAAAAGGCAAGCCAAATTAAAAAGAGGACAGACTTCTAAGGCCGCCAAGGCAGGGAACCCAGACCCACAGAACTCCCTGTCCCCCCGAGGGGTGGGGGTGGGGACTGCTAAGTTTCTCAGTTCTGTGTTTTTGGCTGCTCAGCTGGCTGCAGCGGGGTCGCTACCACGCAGACTACGGACTGGCTTTTCTATGGCTCTTAGGAATCAGGGAAGCCTCCCTTGGCTGGCCTCAGAGGCAACCGAGTACCACGGGAAGTGGCTGTGAGCACAGTGTTGTGTGGGCAGGTGCCACATGGTGGCCCCTGCAGAGCCACACCGCCAGAGCAGGAGAAGGAATGGCCATGTGGCAGGCTGCAGCAGCCAAGGGGGCAGCAAGCTCCAGGCTCCTGGATGCCTGGGAACCCTTGCTGTGCCCCGCCTGAGGGTCAAGGGCAAGGCTTAGCGCGCACACCTCCCAAAGAGAGGCAGCTGTCGCCCGAGGCACTGGGAGACACCTTTGGCTGCCTCTCCATTTCATATGAGATTCCTCCTTTTGGAGCCAGTTTTGTATCCCTGTGGCCCTGACTCTCCTTCCAGGCTGACACAACCATCTCTAGGTGTTTCATGCAAAGGGCTCACAGGACGCCAAGGTCTGAAGCAGACCTTGCACGGGCTCACAATGGCAAGGAGTGGCCTGGACCAGGAGCCACGGAGGCAACGGCCCAAGCTGGAGGCAGATCAGGGAAGCCCTTCAGGTAATTCCCAGGTGGCCTGGTAGGTGCACTCTCACATGAGAGCCACAGACACACCCAAGTCTCTGTTTTCCGACTGGGCAGCTAAGGCCCTGAGTGGAAGGGCCGACCCAGCTCAGCATTAGTAGGACAGGCGTCGGTAGCTTATGCAGCGAGCAGTCAGGACTCAGGAAAGGAACAAGAACACAGTAGGGCTTAACCTTCTGAAAGCAGCAGGGATGGAGCCCAGGAGGCCTGGAGCAAACACAATCCGAGCATAGCTGCAGCTATGTGGGCAGCCTCGTTTGGGGTGCTGACTGTGGGGGCTGCACTGGACCAGCACGGAGGGCAGCAGGCCCTCTGAGGCAGCACCAAGCCCACACTCCCTCCCCACATGACTGCCCTGAGCAACAGCTACCGGGCTGCCGGCCTGGCCCTCTGCAAACCCATGCAGGGGTCTTGATGGTGGCCTTTCTATGGCTGGAGGTAGCACTGCCTTGCGCTAGCTGCTCCTTCATGGCCCAGCTGCTGCCTAGACGTTCCCCCAGCAGAGAAGGAAAGCACCTTGGTCCACGAGAACTCGGCTCGGAGTTTCGCGCCCAGGGAAGGCACGCGCATGCCTGGTGCAGGGGCATCTAGGAGGGCCATCTGCTCGCTCACTGCTGAGCGGGTGGGAGCAAAACAGGGCTTCCCTTGCAAGGGGACAGGGCCATGGAGGCGCGATGCGGCTGATGGCGGAAGCACGGCACAGAGTGTGAGCACCGGCTGGGGAGGGAATCCGCAGCGTCCTAAAGGAGAACCCTGGAAACGGAACGCGCATGCGCCCTGGGGATCTGCACGCCTGGTTTTCTGGAGGCGGGAAGGCTGCCCAGCCGACCTTCTGCCTCCTGCTAGGTTGTCACCCCATGGACGAAAGCCCGCGGTTCTGACACCGGACTTGATGTGCGCAGCGGGGAAGAGAACTTTTCATTATAAAAATATTTTCTAAATATGCAGGTTTTCCAGAAAAAAAAAAAGAGTAGAATGATGAGAGAGAAACTTTTTAAGGCACTGCTTAAAAGAAAACACCTGGGAGATAGCCCAGCACTTTGGCCTCTCGGCTCTACTATCTTTTTAATTCCCTGCATTCCTGTTCTATGGCTTATCTGTGAATTTGGTTAACACATTCCCCAGCCGCTCAATTGGATAAGATAAGGCAGATGATGTTAATAGAGAGCCCTCCGTCTTTTCCCACTGAGTCTGATTTCAGGATTCATTGACTTGCTAAACCCAATCTTTTCCCTGCCTTCCGTGTCCCATACGGGCTCATCAATGCAGAAGATAATCTACCCCGCGGACGTCCAAGGAGCACCCACAGAGGGCACAAGGAAGTGGGGGTGGGCAGTCTGGTCCCCAGGGGCACCTGCAGAGAGAGGCAGCTGTTGGGGGGCACCGAGGCTTGGTGGGGGGGCCTTGGCCTAGGGACTGGCCAGCCCGGATGTAAGGCGCTCTCAGGCAGCACACCTGCCTGCCCCAGAAACCCATCCGTGGCCAGCAGGGGGGCGCTCCCTACTCACCTCGGCCTGTGCTGTAATGCTGGAGTTTATCGCTGTAAACCGCCTCTTTGCTGTACGCCCGTTTCCTGTGGATGCAGACAAGAGGGGCTGTCTCAGCCGGGGGTGCAGATGCCACTCAGCTGCAGGGACCTCCTCCCCAGGCCCCGTCCAAGACCCAGACCTGGGCTCACCCTGGCCCTGTCCTGGGCGGAAGACTGGGCAACCCTCTTTTGCTCCTGCCTTACCCAGTGTTCTGTAGGCAGATGGGTCTGCAGGAAATGAAGGTCTGCGCACAACCCCTGTCCCACTGCCCCCCAGTCAGAGGGTGGAGGCACTGCGGCCAATCTCCAGCGCTCAGGTGGAGCCGCAGTACTGCTTGGGGGAAGCCTAAAACAGGGCTTTGCACACAGTATCTGGGCTAACCACCCAAGGCAGTTAGACGCAGCATTAAAAATGCACGAAGCCTCCAGGCTGGCCCTGGTGCGGAACTCAGAGCTCTTCTTTACTCCTCCCCTCCTCTCTGGTCCGGCTGCCTTTCTGCCCAGTGCTAAGGGCCTGGGCGCTCTCAGCTGAGGATGAGCAGGGGGGTGAGGGAGGGGGTGGGGGGGGGCGGGCACTCCAGCAGCTCAGATGCAATTTTGTAACCATCAGTCTGACAGCCCCTGCCTGTGAGTAGGGCTAAAAGTCTTAACTTAAATGAGGTTTCAGGATGGATGCTGTTTACCCACAGCCTTGCCGGGCTCCCACGGCAGAGTTTATTCTAGGCCCAGAGAAAATAAATCACCTGGCGAATTCTGGGCTGCCTGTGGATTGAGATGGAGTGACAAGGGTGTCTGGAAACAGTCCGGCCTGGTGCAGTCTGCGCAGCCGAGACGGGCTGGCACGGGAAGAGGGGTCCATGGAGAGAGGCTTCCTGGGTGCAAACAGAGCAGGTGGGGGGTTGGTGCTTACCGGCTGCAGACTATGGAGATGGCCACCAAGGACACGACGAACACGACCCCGGCCGCTGCCGAGCCTGCAATGAGGGGCAGCTGCTCCCTCAGCTCCGACTTGTAGTCCTCTAAGGTGAGAAAGTGGCGTTAGACTCCTGCCCACAGGCACGCTGCACGACAGCTGCTACCTAAGACACGAAACACCCACGCGCATATCTACATGGAGTACAGGGCGTACGCTGCAGATCGTAGGCCTGACCACAGCAAGGTGTGATCTTTCAGCCCAAATCCACAAAAGGCAATGGCGACAATGGAAGCCACACAATGGCTCATGGGAAGGCGGGGCCAGTGGCCAAGAAGCCTCCTGTGTCCCTTCTGCTAAAAGGGCTCTCAGCCGTGCTAGGGATAAGCCCAGCGGAGGGGTGAAGACCCCGCTGAAGTGTCTTCTGAGATGGGAGGGTTTAAATCGCAGCGAGGGAGCAGAGTCCCTGGGTGCCTGCACTCAGCCAGCCCTGTGCCCGACGTGCTGCAGGAGGACGACGCGCCTGAGCAGCCGCCCGCGCTCTCAGCTCCTACTCAGCAAGACGGTGTGCAAGAGCAAGGCCTCTGCCAGACACGGAAGCCACGCTGGACCCCGCATGGAGCCTGGCATGCCCACGTGTAAACTCGGCGATCTCGGACCAATTAGTCTCCCTGACTCTCTGCCTATCTGTTGGGGAAAAACAAAATCAAAAAATGTGTGGAGCGCACTTCATGGTGCCTGACCTAGCTAGCGCAGGTGCCCCCCATGCTACTCTTTAAGCTGTGTGCACCTGCTCCGGCTGGTTGTTGCTATTATTATTGTTGCTGTTATTGTCACGGTTATTCTTCCACTGGTATTAGAGAGCCGCTATCTGATGCTCAGGACTTTGGCATGTGGAGATCAAACTATGGAGGTTCTACTAAATCAGGGTCAGCAGATAATAGCGAATTAAAACACAGCTAAGTTTGAATTCCAGATTTAAGAAAAGAATAATGTTTTAGTATAAATATTTACCGAATACCGCACGGCACATACTTACACTGAAATGTTATTTGTTGCCTATCTGAAATTCAAACTTAACTGCTCATCCTGCTGGCGACACGGAGGAGGTTCCCCATGGTGGCACAGGAATTACCTGAGCCCCTGAGCCGGAGGTTTGGCATGGCTCCTTCCTGGGCCACTCTTCAGATGTCCAGATCAGAGCCCCCAGAGGGGAGAACAAGTGTCTGTGTGGTTAACAAACACTCTGGGGTGGGGGTGGGGGTCCTTATGTCCGCCCCAATCCTTGAGACTCCTCCTCCAATTACGTGGGTGGGGGGTGATTGACAGCAAGGGCGTTGGCCCTTGAACCCTCCCACTCTATAGAAGTCAACAGGCAGAGCCCAAGGCTGAGATCCCATTGCTCTCCCCTCAGCAGCTTTTTGTGCTAAAAATAAATAAAACAAATTTGGCAACAACAACAATAAAAGTCAAGGAGCCACAGCCAGGAGTCGTCACAAGCTAACAATTTCATGAAGCAACCTGGAGCTTGCCCGGTTAGAAAAACGCATCAGAGAGGACGCATCAGAGAGCACGGTGTCCCTGAGAGCCTCCACGTGGAAGGCACTCAGCCCGGGCGTGGCCACTGCCCCGGGGTGGGGTCCCACAGGTCCTCCTCGCCCCAGTGACCCCACGGCCGGGCGACTTTCAGGTCACCTGTGCACCGCAGACTGTCCTGCAGCTGTGCGCGCGACCAGTACCCACGTGTGCACCTCCGTCACTGAGATCATCCGCCCAGATCTGGCCACTTCCCAGAACTCTCCTAGACATCCAGCCTCTCTGGGGTCTGCAGAACTTAACTGCCGAATGTAAAAGGAATAGGCTTCTTGGGAGGAATTTGTTACTTCTTGATTTGTCTAGCAGAATTGCCAAGAGACCAGTGCTCTGCGCACTTGGAGTTTGGGGCTTTTAATCCTGTGTACCTCCTGATGCCAAAGTGCCTATAAATCCAGCCGGTAAGTGAGGTGCCGAGCAGGGGACGGAGTGCTTAGGAGCATGCAGGCGGCCTGCATTCTTCCCATTCTGACAGCACTGTTCATCTCAATGAGCCGCCTCACCTTTCTACCCCATGTCCCCATACTCAAAACTCCGGAGAAGATGCACCCGAAATAAACACAAAGCGGGGTGCAGGCTCCAGTCCTACAGGGCCCAGACCATTCATATGAGAACATCTAGCTTGAATCACAGCACAGCTGTGGGCATCCCAGGGCGCAGCTGCCACTCAGCCGGGGCGGGGAGGGGTCCTCACACTCGCCACTCAGGTGGGGGGGGGGTCCTCACACTCGCCACTGTTGATTTCTCTTTTCACCGGAAAGTAAATGTTCTTATTTGGGTAAGAAACCATTGGATATTTAAATATTTCTAATTCATTGAATGATTGTTTAACATACAATGTAAGTCAAGAGAAACCTCAAGGACTATGGAGCATCTATCTGGCATCAGAATGCTAGCCTACAATAACATTCCATGTCAGGTCAAACTAATTCCAATGTAACTTCAGAAAGGAGAAGGAAAGCCTTTCAATGAGTGGGGTTAGGAATAGACCGCCAGTTGGACCACTAGCAGGAAACAGCTCAGAAATGAGTAACTGTAGCAGGGGTCTTAAAAAAGTTCATGGAAAACACAGATTGCGGGAAAAAAAAAAAAAAAAAAAAAAAAAAAAACAAAAAAAACAAAAAAAACAAAAAAAAAACTATGGATGGATTTTAAAAATTTGCACCAAAATAAGCTTATCCTTTAATTCCATCTTCCACAAACTTTTTGAAATACCCTCAATTGGGGCAGGTGGGCAGACAGACAAAACTACAGTAAGTGGTATGAATGGCAACCTATGGGAAAGGAAAAAAGACACAGACAGAACACACCCACGCACCATGCTAAGGCGACGGGAAATCGGGTTTTCAGAACTAATGAAGGAGCTGTTCTTGGGGGCTGGAGGGAGGCAGGTGTAACAGGGAACTAACAAAGCCCTAAAGTAGAAGCAATTTTGGTGACAGAGTGGCTGTTCTCTCCGGGGCCACCCGGGCAGGACGCACTGCAGGTCCTGGGTGAAGCTGCTCCAAGGGTTCAGAGATCTTGGACACGTGAGACCACCACGCCCAGGTCTTGTCCCACCATGTCCCTCCTGGTGACTCAAGCTCATGCACTCAGGCTGTGAACTCAGCTCCACATCCCGTGCCTGGGAGAGTGGAGCAGGGTGTGGGTGAAACCACACAGGGCCGTGCCTTGATGCAACACGGCACCGTGGGCCACAGTGGCTGTCCCTGCTGTGCCAATGCAACAGGCCACTCGTGGTGCACAGACCCCTCAAAGGCAAACCCAATGGGTTGCTGGGAGACAAACTTGCCAGACTCCAGAGAGATGCCTTGCTGGTGAATGAGCACGCCTAGGTTTGCCCTAGGGGAGACAAACCTTTGTGAGGAGGTGAACTGGAAGCCAGCTGGAGGTTGGCATTTTGGCCGTGTGTGCAGCTTCTCTGGGCCTGCTTCTCCTCCTCCCCCAAATCGATGGCCTGCCCTGTGCCCACCACCCTCTCCCCCACCCCCACCTTACCGTCTGTCAGAGTCTGGAAGCACATCTTGCCACTGAACTTCCCATAGCCAGCCACGGTGCGGGCGCGCACCTGTACCACGTACACCATGCCCGGCCGCAGCCCGTCGATCCGCGCCGTGTTTGTCTGGCTCCTCGCCATGGAGGAGTTGAACTCGTTGTGTTCCTAAAACAAGGAGCAAAGCAGAAGGGGTCAGCAGCTGGCTCCTGGGGGCTGCAGCCCCCAGCGCGCTTTGTCCTGGAGCACTCAGGTCCCATGACTTCTTGCTCCTGCAGATCTGCCAGAAGTTGCCACCAGCTCAGGCCCTCCCTCTGGATGGGGACAGTCTGGCCTGGCCGAGGGAATGCCACACCAGTCCTGGACCACAGGGTGGTCTGAGGAAGTGACCACGCTTCAGGGCCGGCCAGGGTGCCGCACATTTTCCACCCGTGCTGCTCTGCCCAGGGGTCAGACGTAGAGTTGCAGAACACATGCAGCTTTGCAAACTCCTGCCAAGTCTCCGAGCTCAGCAGAAGCAGCAGACACCATCCATCCCCTTTCTGCTTGCACGCGCTGAGCTGTCCCCTCTGGGTTCTTTTCCCAAGGTCTCCCTGGTCGTTCCCCCCAGGGGCCGTTCGCCCTCGCTCCTTAAGCGTCCTCAAGGGTTTAGGCCAAAGGCTCTGCGTCCACTGTGCTGAAGCAGTGGAAGCCATTCTGGACTGCCTCCCCCACCTGCTCTGCCTTCACCTTGACCTGTGTCTGGGCGCCACCCCCAGGTCCCCAGCATCCAGGGAGGGCAACGCCCCTTCTCCGTATGTCCTTGCCCTCTGCACTTATGTGAGGTCATTTTCGTCAGCACCTTTCACCCTGTCCCCAGCAGTCGCTGCTGTCTGCACACCTGTGTCCTCAGGTGTGTACGGCCCTGCTTGTGCCTTGCACACTGGCTCCTCTGCCCATCCCGAGTGCCCTTGCACGGCTGCTTCCTCTCTGCGCTACGTGTCTTAGTGAATAAACAATTGGTGTCTGCACTCTTGCAAACTCCCATCTTCTGCCTGCTCCTCACCGCCCCCAACCCCAATGCCAACCGTCTTTTCTAAAGCTCTAATAGTATAAGGACTGAACTCCTACACCTGGGCTCAGGGGTCCTTCCTTAATGATGTCATTTCCGGTCTCACATTCCCCCCACAATCTCGCCTTGCTACCACACCATCGTTGAGGCCACATGGCCAGTCCAGAATGCCTTGCTCCAGGCCTCCTCTGGGCAGGCTTCCCACACCACTCCAGACCACGGATGCTCTGCTCCCACTGCGGGCCTTCCATGCCTCACCCTCAGCTCCTTAGCCTGGTCTCTGATTGTTTCCAGGTGAGCAGGTCTTTCCACTACAACGATCTGGGCCGTCTCCTAGCATGCAGGAAGCAAAGCTTAAGAGTTTGGGCCTGCTTCTGTCTGCACCATGAAGCCTAGAGGCAAACAGAGACCTCGGTGCAGAAGGGCTTGGGTCACTGGAAGGGAAGCCCTCGAGTGTCCCAGGCAGCTCTGGGGTACTGCAGTGAGGTTTAGGCACTGTGGCTCAAGAGGCCTGGTGACAATGAGGGGGAAACTGCAACCACATCTTCAGCTCAATACAGAAGAAACGGGGTGGGGCTTGCGCCAGGACAAGAGAATACAGTGCAATGCAAAGTAATTCCCATCGCCATAAATTTGGAAAGGTCTACTTTGCAGAGGCGAGTAGAACCTGATGTGTATCTTCCCTCCCTTACCTGTCCAGTGAGCCAAGCAGTTACACATAAGACACACGGCTGGGTGCTATGTGGGTGCTATATGGGTGCTCGCCATGCAGCTCTGAGCACAAACGTCTCTGTCCCCTGGGGACGCAGCATCTTGTGGGGTAGACGGGAAAATAAACTGAAGACGACAGCAGTGTGGGCTGAGCAACTGGGCAGGGGGCAGCACAGTGGGCTACGAGGCACGGTAGGGGGCACCAGGAGGAGTGGCGTCAGCTGAGCCGTCAAAGATGGGGGAAGTGAGCCACGTGGGTGAACAGAGGGAATGGTGCGAAAGCAAGGCTGGAGGAGCTCAGGAGCCTGCCGTAGCGGGCACACTGGAGCGCTGGTGGCACAGGGCGGCCCTGACTATGTCAGAAGTAGTTGTGAGCAACCAGCTCGAACCGACAATGCAGTTAAAGAGTCATCAGCGAGGGCTATCCCTGGGTCCCAGGGAGAGGCTTCCTGGGAGGAACTGTCCACCTGCCATCTGATCTGTTCAAATGCAAGGGGAGTCACCTGCATCCTCAACCCGCTCCCTACTCCTGCCCCCAGGCCCAATCAGAGCTTCATCAGAAAGAAGGCACACAGGACTCTGGTCATGACCACTGCGACCCCGTGAAGATCTGAGCTCTAAAAATCACCTGATCACTTCGCAAATAAAAATAAAATCCCACGGCTACACAATCCAGACAGTCGCCTGAATTCCCCAGTTTTATTAGAATCTGATGGGGTCCTGCTCTGCTTGAAATAAGTGAAGCTACAAGTGGTAGCTTTAACTGAAAAAAAAAAAAAAAAGTGCTTTGATATATTGGCAGTTGTGTTGTGAGAACCAAACATTAACCCATCATCACTTCACAGTCTCCACGTTCTTGAAGAAGTTCAGTGATTAGAATGAGTCTCTGTTCTTGGTCCCCACACGGTCATTAATCAATCCCAGGCAAATGAAGGAGAGTGATGAGCATGGCTGCTTATGACCGAATTCATAAGTATCTCGGAGACAGAAGCTGCGGCTGTGGGGGGCAGAGACCATCCCCCCACCCCAACGCACAGTGCACGGTGCAGCTCAACGCCAATGAATGCAGAAACTGCACACTCTGGTCCGCTTACTTGGACCAATCGATGGAGCACAAGGTATTGCCAAGGTCTGAAAACGATCCTAAAACCCGCAGAGCAGACGTTCCCAAGGCCCAGCGCCCCACCCGCCCAGCCTAGACAGTTATCAGAAAGCAGCGAGCGCCATCTCAGTGCTTAATCATCCCGACAGCCCAGCGCAGCTGTAGGGGCTCCTCCCATGGTCTGCCTATAAGCGCCGACACCAGGAGTGAAAGGTGCTACAAGACAGTAAACAAGGAGGAATGATGAATGGAGGCCGATTAACACGGGGAAGGAGATGAGCGCGCTGCAGACTCTGGGAGTGTCCTCAGCTCCGGGACACCTGAGCTCTCTATTAATGAACTGTTGGAGGAGGCGAAGGCCTCATTGATTCTGTTCACGGAGCTGACAGAGAAAGGTGTCCCAAGCACACACTGAGAGGGGAACGTGGGCAAGGGGCCCAGGGAGAGTTTTCAGTACTGCACATGGGCCAGCAGCCACATTCCATGGGAACCCAGCCACGCCCGCCTATTTACACATAGTCTATGGCTGCTTTCCTGCCACGTAGGCAGAGTGAAGCAGTGGCGACAGAGGCCACACGGCCCTCAAGCCCACTGGTCCATTACAGAAAACACGTGCTGCCTCTGGGTTGGGATGGAGGGGCTGGGAGTGGCCCAGGACGGAGGAATGGTGAGCCGTGCTTCCTCGGATGCAATCCAGGACATCTACCAGGAAGAATGTTCTCTGTGCTTCTATCCTCTAAAGAGCAGGATTCCAGAGTCAGTGCAGAATCTGTCAGCAGAATCTTTCTGGTTGCAAGTACTTGGAATTAATATTCAAATACAACCTCCGTCTTCTGGATTCTACAACACAATCTCCTACTTGGGAGTCCTCACGGACACTGAGATAGATCCTCACCATCAGTGGTGACTGCACCCACGCCCAATGCAGCCCCGGTGTTTGGTTTTCACTGAAATACAATAACATGCCTGGAGTTCTGGTTCTGTGACCCATGTGGTCAATGAGTAAGTTGTTTAACCTTTTTGTCACTTAGTTGCATCATCTATAAATTGGTTACATCTGGTTTGCAAGGATGTGTTTTTTTCTCTTAAGGACAGAGCCAATATATCTGTATATATCTGGCACCTAATAGGCACTCAATATAGGATGACTTACTATCTTTATGGTTATTGTCGCTCCCCCTCTTCGTGAAGGAACGACACTAAACCCTGCCTAGGTTTCATATCCGAGTCACGGCACCATTATGCCTCCTAGGCTTCATATCCGAGTCACGGCACCATTATGTCGCTCCCCCTCTTCGCGGAGGAACGACACAGGACCCTGCGCTGTTCTTTTGTCTGCTCGGCCCTTCCCGGGTTTGCTGCTGGTTCTTCCCGGGTTGGCTACCGACCCTTCCACCTCCGTGGAAGGGCGGTTCCCCCTGCCACTTTCCCCACTTCCGCGGGGGAGTGGCACACCGCCGGCCGGCCGGCTCTCTCGGGGGCTGCTCAGATGTTCCTCAGGTGTTCCCCTTAGATGTTCCTGGTGCATGCCGTCTCTCTCCTCCTTTATAGTCCTCTTCCACCAATCCCAACTCTGCTACCCACACGCCGAGTACGCTGCTCTCCTCCAATCAGGAGCAGGATCAGCTCCTGCAGGTCATCACTCAAGTTGGCGAGAGGCAGCTGTGTAGAAGCTGTTTACTCCTCTCCCAGTGCCATATTGTGGGAGAGCAGATGCATAGAATAAGTCTTAATTCCAGTAACTTAGTCTAGTCCGAGTTGCTCCCCACAGTTATTATTTCAAAATGCCCTCCCAGGCTCATGTCTTCTTTAGTCATGTTGGAAATGGCCAAGGCCACGTGATGGATTTCATGGTCAAGTATTTTGTAAGTGAAGGAGAGTTCCATAGTAATATGCTAGATGGCAACCAATGCTTTGGCAAAGAATCTTCTGTGGCCCAAGGAAAGCATTTCATCCTCTGGAGTGGGGACAATAATACGCTTCACTGAGGTGTGGCAGCTGCCTCAGGCATTGGGCTGCTATATACGTGTGTCTGTTCATAATTAGTAGAAATTACCAAGTGGGAGGGAGATGGCCTCAAATGGGAGAGAACACGCTTCCCTCACAGCATAAGCAGTTGAGGTTAGGCACTGTCTTTCAAGGCAGGAGGTTTAAATACAAAAGGAAAGGCACTGGAGGAGCCCGGGCTGGGGTGGGGGACCCAGGAGCCAAGTGCAGTGCACACGCCATGGCTGCAGTCCCAGGGTTGTCGCTGAGCCATCTTCCTGTCCCAGCTGCCTACAGAAGTGATGTCCCTGGGCGCAGCTGGTGAGCAGGAGGAGCAGGTGTTCTCTGCCCCTTCCAACACTGCCACCTGCTGCAGGGCAAAGGCCCCGGCCTGCTTCCCAATTGTGAGACTGCAGCAACATTTTTTTTTTTATTTTTGACAGGCAGAGTGGATAGTGAGAGAGAGAGAGAGACAGAGAGAAAGGTCTTCCTTTGCCGTTGGTTCACCCTCCAATGGCCGCTGTGGCCAGCACGCTGCGGCAGGCGCACCGCGCTGATCCGAAGGCAGGAGCCAGGTGCTTCTCCTGGTCTCCCCTGTGGATGCAGGGCCCAAGGACTTGGGCCATCCTCCACTGCACTCCCAGGCCACAGCAGAGAGCTGGCCTGGAAGAGGGGCAACCGGGACAGAATCCGGAGCCCCGACCGGGACTGGAACCCGGTGTGCCGGCGCCGCAGGCAGAGGATTAGCCTATTGAGCTGCGGTGCCGGCTGCAGCAACATTTTTCTTTTACCATCTTTGTCCCTCAGTTTCTTTACCTATGGGTAAATGACACTAATATCTACCACATGGGGGTGTGCAAAGGAAAGTAGATACTGCTTTTAAAGCCCCTGGCACCCAACAGGTGCACCCTGCAGGGAAAGTATTATTTTTCTGAGCCCTGTTGCCATGTCAACAGGGCTATAAGTTCAGTGGGTGCTGGTGGGTCCTTGTCTCTGATGTCACACCCTATGCTGGCATCACGCTCTCTGAAACCACTGGGTCAACTCTGGTAACAAAGTGAGACCATGTACTGAACTGGTCCAAACAGAGTTGTCCAGACATGTTGGAGAGTAGATGCTTACTTTATTAACTGATTAAAAAAAACATCTAGCAAACAAGGGCTCCAAATTCAAAGTGGATTAGATAGAACAGGTGCTTATGGATCTAGCTGGCTTAAATCACCCCCAATTCACTGAATTACCTGACTCAATTGTCTGTAAAAGCCTGTGTTCTCTGAGCACAAGAGGATCCTCCCCCACGCTTGCAGGGCCAGCTGTAATGGTGGCTGAAGGGCGTGTACCTCCTCCGCATGGCCCAGATTGGTTTTCTGTCTGGACCGTCGCTTTCCGGGAGGCAAATTGCTGCCATTTCACAAACGTGGAACCTGTGACCTCGAGTGGTGAGTAATTTGACTACTGCTGCCGCGTGGTGAGCTGCCGAGGGCCCTGGAAACCAGGCTCTGCTTCCCAGCACAGCGGCGTCCCAGGAGCCAGCACGGCCCCCACGGCGCAGGGCTGTGGCTTTCCATCCTCGGCCTCCTCTTCTGTCCACTGTCGCCTGGGTGACCTCACACAGGCTCAGGGCTGTCTTACCATCTGCCTCCGAGAACTCTCAGATGCACATGTTCAACCTGGTCCCTCTAGAAATCCAGGCGTACATACCCAGGTGCCTACCCCACCTCTCCGCTTGGCCGTCTCACAGGCATTTTGGACAGAGTGGAACTTCTGCACACCCCCCACCACCACCCCAAGTAAGTATACTGTACCCTCTGCACCCTCACGTCCTTCTAGTGGCTTGTCCCAAACCCTCCCAGGCCCCAAGTCCACCTGGGGGAAACCTGGCTGCCTCAGCCTTTAGTTTATACCCCTGGACATCAAGTATGTACCACATCCTTCTGTTTCTAGCCCAGCTCAAGCCACCTTACAGATGACCTAGCAGGCCTGTTTTCAGCGGAGCACCCCGAATGATCCTTTTAAAATACAGGCTTATACTCTGTTCCTAAACCTGCCACGGCTCCCCTTCTTGCTCGGCAAGAAAGCTTGAACCCTGATGCCCGACGTGACAGCCTCCCCTGGAACCACTTCTCCCCGTCCCCCACTCCCCACGCGGGCTCCAGGCCTGCTGGTCCCCCTCTTGCTCCTGGAGCCACCAGTCCTGATCCTGCCCTCGCACCTCGCACCTCGCACCTCGCTCAGGCTGTGCCCTGCTCCCCCAGGTAACTGCCCCACAACAGCCTTCCTTCCTCAAGGTCTTTACCAGCTCTCACCTGCTCCGCAGCCCTCGCTTTAGCTTTCTGCAGCCTGCTCCTCCCCCAAGCCTGACTCTCCTGATCCCTTTAACCTGTGCTGTTTTTCCCCTTCTTTTCTTTATACTGCTCGTTTTCTGCCATTCCGTGTGATTTCCTGATTTATTATGACCACTGTGAATTGTTTGGCTCCCTCTGTTGGAAGAGCAGGCACCTCTGTCAGTCTGGCCGCTAACATATCCTGGGATAGCACCAACAATCGGAGCTGTCACACAGGAAAACACTTACTAAACACTTACTGAACAGATACATGAATGGCTCTGATTTCTTAGAATTTATTTATTTTTAAGATTTGATTTAGTTATCAGAGAGGTAGAGTTCCAGACAGAACCAGAGACAGAAAGAAAGGTCTTCCATCCACTGGTTCACTCCCCAAATAGCCCCAGTGGCTGGAGCTGCACCGATCCGAAGCCAGGAACTGGGAGTTTCTTCTGGGTCTCCCACATGGGTGCAGGGGCCCAAGAGCCTGGGCCTTCTTCCCTGCTTTCCCAGGCCATAGCAGAGAGCTGGATCGGAAAAGGAGAGGCCAGGACACAAACCAGCCCCCATTTGGGATGCCAGTGCAGAGGCTTAGTCCACTATGCCACAGAGTTGACCCCCACGACTCTGATATTTTAGCAAATAAATGAGTGAGGACTCAGTGTTGTGGTGCAGCAGGTTAAGCCACTGCCTGTGATGTGGGCATCCCATATCAGCGCACAGGTTCAAGCCCCAGCTGCTCCACCTCTGATCCAGCTCACTACTAATGTGCCTAGGGAAGCAGCGGATGATGGCCCAAGCACTTGGACCCCTGCCACCCAAGTGGAAGACTCAGATGGAGTTCTGGGCTCCTGGCTTCTACCTGGCCCAGTCCCGAGAGTCACAACCATTTGGGAGTGAACCAAAGGATGGGAGATCTCTCTCTTCCTCTCTCTTTCTGTCTCTGTTTCTCTCTGTGACTCCACCTTCCATAAAAGTAAACTAGATCCTGTAAGGAGAGAGTGAAGCTGGAGTTTTAGCGAGTGATGGTTGAGTTGGTAGAGAAAGGAGTGAATTTTGCAGGAGCAGCTGCAAGCACTGTGCTCCACCAACGGTGGGCAGGAGGCAGATGGGCCAGGCACCAGCTCCACGGGGCACTGCTTTCCTTTCTTGGCAGCTCCGGCCCTGCTGTAGACCCCCAGCAGCCACCGCTAAAGAGCAGCCAAGGAAGATGATACAGAACTTTCAATCTCTATTAACTGTGATCTCATCCTCTTAAATGACTGTTTACATCTCCATGGATCTGTTCATCCAGTGCTATATGCGTATAATTGACAAATAAATAACTTTATGTCGACCGTCCATGATCAGAAACTTTCCAGGACCTCTGATCTACTCTGAAGGTATGGGGACCCCTTGGCCGGCTGGCAGCACCTGCACGAGGACAGCAAACCCTGGATGGGGTCAGTGGGACCCACGGGACTGCTCCTCCCCAGCCCAGCCCAGTGAGCTGCCCCGGCAGCCAGGGGTGGGCTGGGAGCCCCTCCCTTGAGTAGGCGCAAGAAGTGCCTGGGCCTTGAGATTCTTGACCCTGACCACGCCCAGGGAGCCTCCCTCACCAGATTACTGCCTCCCCCCCACACACCCAGGCCTCCCTCCAGCCCTGCCTTTTTGGGTTCTCAGCCAGCCTTGTGAGCTGCAAGGCTGCAGGCAAACCCGGCTCACCTTCTCATAGTACCGGATCTCATAGTCCAGGATGATGCCATTGGGCTGTTCCGGCTGTGGCCACGACAGGGTGATGCTTCTCATGGTGGCACTGACCTGGTGCATGATGGGAACAGTGGAGGGGGCTGTGGAGAGACAGGAAGACACGGACAGCTGAACAGACGCTCGGTTACAGGACCACCGCCATCTCTTGGAGGCAAGTAGGAGGAGACAGCCTGCTTTTCATTGCCCATCAGCTGGGTCAGACTCACAGAACTTCCTTGGGGTTTTGCCGAATGAAAGTGGAGGACTAGTGGAGGAGAGACAAGGTGAGAGGAGAGCAGGTGGGTGGGCAGGGGTCAGGAGGTGTGCGGTATTTTCCTGGGCAGGAAGGAGAACGGCTTGGCCCACACAGAGGTGGCCGGAGGAGTCGGAAGAAAAGGGAGGAGGGATGGAGGAGCACTGAGTGTCTGCTAGAGGCTGGGCTTTCACTGAGAAGGGAAACAGAAGACAAGAGCCCGTGGTGAGGGAGTGGGACTGACCGGTGCAGCTACTGTGCAGTGGGGAGGATTGCTCTAGCACCCTCTGCTTCTGACACCGCATGCAAGATTTTGCTGTGCATCCAAAGGACAAGGGGTGACATCTTTCAAGAAGACATGGTAGGGGCGGCTGGTGCTGTGGCACAGGGGTCAGACTGCCATCTACAGCACTGGCATCCTATACGAGCCCCAGTTTGAGTCCCGGCTGCTCTGCTTCTGATCCAGCTCTCTGTTGATGGTCTTGGAAAGCAGCTGAGGATGGCCTAAGTCCCTGGGCCCCTGCACCCATGTGGGAGACATGGAGGAATCTCCTGGTTCCTGGCTTCAGCCTGGCCCAGCTCTGGCCACTGTGGCCATCTGGGGAGTGAGACACAGAGAAAAGATCTCCCTCTCTCTTCCTCTTTCTCTCTCTCTGTAGCTTTGCCTTTCAAATACATAAAATAAAATCTTAAAAAAAAAAAAAAGACATGAACACAGACCCACAGCAGAGATGCCATCAGAATTCCCCCAATTGGGGATATTTACAATAAAGAGCTCCAAATATGGGTGAAGGTACACCACACAAAGCAGGCATTTGCAAACAGGACAGTAATGCCCAAATCTGAAAGGCAGATTCAGACATCTCTGCTTGGAAATAATATTTATTTCCCAGTGCATGGTGTACATAAACTGAAAACAGTCGGGAAGTAACAAATGAGAGCTGTCTGTCCAGGGAAGAGGCCGATGACAGATGGAACCTTAATCTGCGCTCTGCTCAGGGGCTCCTCCGTTTAGTCCGGGCACTTGCGCAGTGACCAAGGTCATTTCCTCACTCGAATTCCTCTTCGCAAGGGTTTCCCTGGTGACTGTGACTGAGTGACATTTACCCACCTTAATTTAAGCTAACAGATCCCCCTGCAAGACCTGGAATTACAAGGCATAGCTACTGGGTCACAGGTGGAGGCTGCTGCCTTCTAGACCATTTGTTGGATTCTCTGTGGGCAACTACTACGTGCAGTCCCCGTGCTGGAACAAGGGGCACAGAACCTTGTCCTGGAGGTACCCTCAGTCCAGGGGCACCTACAGGACTGTAAGGAGGCCTTGGAATCAGAATGTGGCCAGAGGGCTTTGAAGGTAGGTTTGCGTAGTTTCGTTAGAGACCTTATGGGGGCTGCCTCCTCCCGGGAGCGTCATTGGCTTCTGGCTCCAGCGGCTGAGCTCTGGAATCCATCCTTCACACGCAGGCCCGCCTCCCACAGGCTGCTCCCAGGCAACGACGGAGAGTGGCAGATGCCACGGCGGGCCCATTCCTGCAAACAGGACTCTTCCCACAGACAGCATCTGCCCCAGAGCTCCCCATGTGCCTCTCCAGTGCTTCCTCGCGGCTCCGCCCACCCAATCCCCCTCCCCTCCCTCTCTTTCATGGGATCAGAGCCTCACTGTGGCCTCACGGCTCCCCCAGGCTCCTCTGGCTCCCATCTCACGTCCCTTGGAAACCTCTGGCACCTCTAGTCCCACCTTGGTGTCTGCTTCCTGGAGACCAGGAACTGAGGTAGGCTTAAATCTCCCTAGTTTCCCAGCTAAGCATTTGCCCTCGGGGATGGGAGGCTCCTGCCTCCAGGACCTGTGGCTCAAGACTGCCGTCATCTTCACCAAGTCGCATCTATCTTCCCTCCCCTGTCCTGAAATTTATCTTCTCACTGCTCTCAGTTCTGCAACTGGAATCATACAGGACGCTGCCTCTTCCCCAGCATGGCCTGTCGAGTTTCTGAAGAAACGCGGTAGAACTTCCCTGAGTCCTCCCTCCTGAAAGGAATGGCCCGGTGCCACGTTTCTCCCATGACGATGACGCAGCACCACCCAGGGTGGCTCTCCTCCAGATGCAGTGCCTGGGACCCACAGGGAGCCCAGTCTCCACGCCACTCTTTGAGCAGCAAAGATTAGAGGAGAACCTGCCAGGAGCCAGGAACTGAGTGTGCAGCTTGGTGGTTAAGATGTTTGTATTCGGATTGGAGGAGCTGGGTTCAAGTCTTGGCTCTGGCTCCTAATTTTTGCTTCCTGCCAGTTCAGACCCTGAGAGGCAATGTCAAGATGGCTCAAACAATTGGGTACTCGCTGCCCATAGGGAAAGCTGGATTGCATTCCCAGCCCCAGTGGTTGAAGGCCTTTGGAGAGTAAACCAGTAAAAACTCCGAGACAGGAGCTTTCTCTGTTAGATAAATACACAATTAAAAAAAAATTACCATGATCTCTGTGTTCTAAATCTATTAATCTATAATCTATTAAAGCATGCCCCTGCTGTTCAGTTCTGAAATCACAGGCAAATATAACCTTTAAGTTCCCCCATGGCATTTCTTCTCACCTTTTGTCCATAGAGCTGGCTTTTGGCTTTGACTCTGGAAATTCACATGCATTTCTTTACCTTATGGCATTAAATTCGGCTTATTAATCTAGTAATTGAAATAGGTGTTGATCCTGATTCAGCCATCAAATGCATTTTCTCTTCCTCCTATCTTAACATCACGGTCCAGGTTAATAAATTAATTATACAAATATTGACTGAGCATCTACCGCCCGTCACCATCCTACCACAGAGAACAAATAAAATGCCCTGCCTCGCACAGCTTACTTTCTGGTGGGAGGGTTCAGAGAGTAGATGTAATAAGTACATCACGCGGTATGTTAAAAGGTACAAAGTACAATGGGAAAAATAGAACAAGGGAAAGAGGGAACTGCACAGTGTGGGAGGTGTGGTGAGCAAGGGCCCCTGGGAAGCAGGTGCAGGAGCACAGGGTTGAAGGAGGAGAGGGAGGGGACCAGGAGGAGACTGGAGGAGAGCACTTGAGGGAAGGGTCTGCCCCAGGGGTGTCAAAGAATCAGTCACGTAAGGCAAGCCCCGACGGACGTTAAAAGGACTTTGGGCTTCTACCCTGAGTGACCTGAGAGGGGGGACCATGGGAGGGCCATGGACAGGGCAGTGGCGGCATCTGACCTGGAGACAGCAGTATTGCTGTCTGCTGGGTTGCAAATGGAATGCAGGGGCCACGGGGAAGCACAAAGACCTGTCTGTGGTGAGCCTCTTGCAATAATATGGCTGCCCAGCAATGAGTACTGGGAAACGGGCTGTGAGCAGTGGGGAGGTGGCCAATTCTAACTAAATTTAGACTCTGGGGACGGGGGATGTGGAAGAAACAGAAGAGTCAGAATGATTCCAAGGTTTCTGGGCTGAAGCCCTGGAAGAGTGAGGCTACCTTCCCCTGAGATGAGGAAGACGCCAGTAGAAGCAGTTTGGAAGGAAAGACCATGCGCTCCGCTCTGGACCTGCTAGGTGTGGGATGCCCGAGGTGTCAGAGGGCAGAGAGCCATGTCCCCAGATGGATGCGTTCCATCTAGACTGGAGGTATCAGCATCTCCAACGCATTGAAAGCAGTGGGCCTGGCAGGGATCCCCAAGAGAAAGAGCAGACAGAATGGACATTCTAAGATCGGGAAGTGAGGAACAAACAGCAAAGGAGCCCGAGAGAGAAAGGCCCACAAGGGAGAAGGGGAGCGAGGGGAGTGGGTGTGCGGAAAAGCCAAGGGCAAGAGAGAGCTCCTAGGACGAGAGGCCTTGCTGCATGCTGCTGCTGAGTCTGATGAGATGAGACCAAGAACCAAGGCCTGGGTTTAGCAGCAGGCTCAGTGGCTAACAACGTGTGTGGCACTGGGTCATTTTCCCAAGACCTTGCACACACTGGGTAGGGCAGCGGGAGAGCACGCGGGCAGTTCAGAGGAGCTGGACTGAGCCCATCGAGGTGGAGGTGAAGAGACAGCTGCTGAGAACCCCCTTTCCCTGACCCCACACTGGGCCACTTGGGCTGCCCTTGCAGAACCGCATGGAAGTACAGTTTATACAGTGCCACGTGCTACCCGGTGTCCAGGAGATGCTAGCAGCTGTCCAGGCTCCCCCTGCCTTGCCAGCTAAAGCATCATCCATGATCAAGCAGAAAAATCAGCCCTAGCCACCAAAGGGCTTTCAGGGGCTTGGTTCTTCTTTGCCTCTAATAGGCAGAAAAGCATCATTCACATTCCAATGTGGTGGGAGCCCTGCCCCGATCACTGGGGGCAGGACAAGGAGCAAAGCCACAGTCCTGCCCAAAAGGTCTTTGGAGTCTCTAAAGAGACGATCACAGAGCAGGGTGGGCCAGAGACGCTCGGTCGCCAGACTCCACCAAGGGAAACGCCCGGCTTCTATCGAAGCAAGGACCTGCCCCAGAGCGAGCAGAAGCCGCCAGGGGGTAATGGCCATCCTGCCTGCGTGTCTCAGATTTATGGCGATGACACACTGGTCACAGGCCCCGAGGAAGACTGTGTGTCCTCCCGGAGGTCGCTCTGAATGGCTTACATTTTAATTGTGATGGGACGGAGCACGCAGGAGAAAGCCGGGAAGCACCTCACCCCCCGGAAAACCAGGGGCTGCTCGCGTGCAGTGCTCTGCCATCAGCAGTCTCCCTCGGTGATAAATCTGGCGTTCCCTTCTCCAAGGGCAAATGCCACCACTAAATCTGGTGTTTTACGTGCTATGAAACCTTCAGACAAAAGGGAAAATAATAAATATGAGCTCAGGTGTTCACTCAAACACCAACTTTC